TTGCTTTTTTGTTTGGGGGGGGGGGGGGGGGAGGAGATGTGGGGGCAGAACCCAGGAGTCCCAATTCTCAGCACCCTCCTGGAATCAGTAGCTCTCACACAGACATAAGGGATGTCTTTTGGGGCCTAAGTGTTAAAGCTTGTGCTCCCATCATTCAAATAAAAAATGGAGAAGCTCAAGGAAAGGTATTGAAAGTTGTCTGTATCCATGTGCAGACTAGGTTAAATGTGGTACCTTTTATTAGACTAACTGAAAAGTTGGAAAAAAATTGTTCTTTGCAAGCTTTTGGGCACAGGCACCCTTCTTCAGGCACAGGGAGAGACTCTGTATCCATGCGGGCATTCCCATTCGTACCAGCTTGTGCAGGGATAGCACCTTTCTGTCCTAACTTTGAATTACCAGTCCAAGTCTGTAGGTCTGTTAGACTAAAATTGAGACAAGGCAGTTTCTGACAGCAGGCACAGGCAGCCTGGAGACTTCTCAGAGCAAACACCAAGCTTTTCTCTCACCTCCAAGACTGACTGCAGAACCTGGCATACGATTTCAATCAGCAAGTGACAGCACTCCATTGGAGAGAGATTGATTCGTGGTAGATTTAAAATATTTAACAGGGAGAGCCGGGAATAAAAATCAAGGAAATGCAGATCTCTCCACCCCACAACAGGAAGAGGCAGCTGGTTCAGCCGCACTCTTGGCTTTACGACAGACCATAAACAGAGATGTCACCAATTGGAGAGCGGCCACTTTGACCCTATGCCGATGGCCAGAAGGTAATTGTGACATCCTAGGTGTCCGAGAGAGCTAGGAGCACTTGTATCACACTTTTGCAGAACTCAGTTGGCATCGATCCAGCCGCAGGAGGAGTTCTGGAGGAAGCCGGTGGTGAAAGCTCGGCAGCACCAGTGCCTCTTTGGGTTGGGCAGTGCTGCGGGGTGTCTATCTGGGTACTTAAACGGCCCTCCTGCCTGTAGTACCTCTCAGCATCTCATGATTCTTAGTGCATTTAACCTCACATCACCCCTGCCAGATAGGGAAATGTTACCTTCCTGATCCGACAGATAGGGAATTCAGGCACGGAGAAATTAAGTGACTTGACTAGGATTACAGAGAAAGTCAGTGGAGGAATAAGGAACTGACCTGACTCCTCCAAGCTCAAGCTAGTGCCTTAACTACTCCCCTCCTGGTTATGGAAAGGAACAGAAGATCTCAATATCTGATCCCTACAGAACCAGCATCAACAAGGCGGTGATAGCTGGCACTTCTAGAGCATCCTTCTTCCCAAGACCTATAAGAGCTTCCCAAACAAGGACACAGCCATACAGCAAGCAGCTTTGCATTTTAAATCACCCCATTTTACAGACCAACAAACACTGGAAGGCTGAGAAACATGCCCAAGGTCACAGAGACAATCGGGAGGAGACTGCAGGAGCTCAGGCCCCGATATAAATCCCACCCGGCTGCCCCTACCCCAGAAGAACTGCGCCAACCTACCCAGTTTCATGAGGCAGGCCAAGAGTATCCAGAGCGAGATCTCAAAGGGGATCCGGATGCGGGTGTAGTCAATGCCCAGGACGGGGAAAGCTTTCTCAGGCTTGCTGTGCCCATTGCCTGTGTGGTTGCTGGAGTGCTTGCTCAGAGGGTGAATCTCCTCTGAGATGCCAGGGGGGGCAGACGTGAAGTCCCCCGGCTCGTTGCCCCGGACCACTGCTGGGTAGTGGTGGGGTGCCTCCGAGGCCAGCATAGGGTTCGGCTGCAAGCCATGGCTGTGAAGCAAAGGCAGGAGCCCCAGCAGGGCTGCCACCATGAACACGCTGGGCAGCTTGTGGAGGGTCGGGACCCCCAGGCAGCCTGTCGCCTGCATCTTCCCTTGGTCCGTGCGCAGCGCCTGGTCGGTGCCTCACCGGTAGCCGGTCCCAGAGAGCCGCATGGGGCAAGTGCTGCCAAGGGCACGGAGAGGGGCAAGAAGGGGCCAGCACCGCCCAGCCCAGCTCCAGCCTTCCCTGCAGAGAAGAGGGAGAGAGAGATTAGAGGCTGCCACTCCAGAGTCCCCCACTGCTGCTGGCCGCTCCAGAGCCCCCAATACCGCTGGCTGCTCCAGGCAGGGGCAGTGCGAGCAGGGACCCTGCAAAGGCAAATGCAATGCAAAACACACACTGACCCGGGAGGAAGCAGAAGCAGCAGCAGCAGCCCAGGCAGGGGAGGGAGGAGCAAGCGGCTGAGGCTGCAAGACAGCCCCTAGCAGAGGCTGGGTCCTTAGAGAAGGGAGGGAGGGAGCCTGAAACAAGGACGAGGAGAGTGGCGCGGAGGCCCAGCCACACCTGCAGCAGCACCCACTGGCTGGGAGCAGCACTACACAGGCCACAGCTTGCAGCGTCTTCCCACACCTCTGCCCTGGTGCCTGGGGAGAGCTCCACTGCCAAAATGCAGCTGCCTCTGGGGAGCAGCCCCCTGGCAGCGCGCAGGAACACAGGGTGGGAGGATGAGCGGTGCGTGGCAGGAGAGCAGCCCCTACTCCAGCCCCAGGGAGACAAGCCCCACTAGTGTCAAGAGCAGTGGGAGGCAAGGGTAGATTTGCACCTTGGAGACTAACCCAGTGGTTCTAAAACAGGTGCCACAGCACGCTGGGGTGCCTTGAGATCCTTTCCAGGGATCTGAAAAGGTCTGTAGAGAGAAACAGGCACACTGTTGGGTCTGTAGAGAGAAACCCAGAGATTTCAGATAGGCATCCACAGCTAGGGTCTTTCCGAGTGCTTTGCAACAGAAGAACTGCTCTATTAGTTTTCTGTAGGCAAAAGGAGAGTGGAAACGAAGAGCTGGTATTTACTGAGGGGTGCCTGAGTCTATTCAGGGATGCCTTCGATCTGAAATGGTTGAGAACCACTGGACTAACCAAAGTACATAAATATCTATCTATCTATATCCTCAGATGCTGATGACGTCAGCTTCAGCTCATGAAAGCTTGTGCTGTTTCTCTTTCTCTCTCTCGTTAGTCTATAAGGTGCAAACCTCCCCTGCCTTCTACGCAGGACCCAGGGCAATGGGCACCTGAGAAGTAAGCAAAGAGGAGCACCACCACAAAGCACGCAGGGCGGTACCTTGTTGAGTCACCTCCCAAGTAACTTGTGCCCAAAGCAAGCAAAATCTGTCATGTACTTAAGATAAATGCAGCAAGTATGAGCCTGTGGCAGAGCTGACCAACAGGCTGTGGATGGGGTGAAAACACGCCAGCAAAGCCAAGAAGGAGCATGTACAGTGCGGTTTCATTTACTTGTCATTCACCTGTACAAACAGAAAGGAGATTTATTACCAAGGACACCACCAATTTGCCAAACACCTCTGCCCCTTGAGACTGACTCAGGGCCAATCCTTAGAGGTATTTAAACACCTAGAGTTATAGACAGGCTCTCTTTTCCATCCTAGTAGGCAGCTAAATCCAGCTGAAATCACTAATGCCTACTGAAATCAATGGGGTTTTGTGCCAAAGCACCACCGTCTACACGCCCTCCACATCTGCTCATTAAGTACAATTCACAAGTACGTAGTAGATAAAATACAAGTAGACACATGCTACTGAAGTTACATGGTTAGTGTTACGGTAAAGCATGCGACCGAGAGTCAGCCAACATGATTCTTATTTCTGGCCCTGCACCCACTTTCTGAGCATCTCTTGAGCATCACATTTAAGGCCTGCCTCATTGAAGTCAATGGGAGCTTTGCACCAATTAAATGGCAAAACCACGTGCCTCCACTTCTCTGTCTGTAAAATGGGCAGCATGATACTTTTCTTTCTCAGAGGAGAGGTGAATTCTTGTCTGCAGGACACTGAGACATTATAAGGACATTGCAAACCCCTTGGTTAGATAAATCCCTATTGCAGCAATTCAGACCCATTGATTTAGCTGGTCTATGCCTTTTTGTTTTTAACTGGGATGCTGCTCATCCGTTTAGACAGACACTGGGAGGAAGTGAAATGTTGGGCTCTTCTAACTAGGGTTAGAAGAACCACAGGGCGAGTAGCACTGCAGATAGCAGGCATGACATAGCCTCACCCCAAACTGGGGGAATTTACTGTCTTGCAGAGAAGGGGACCAAAAAACTGTCAGCTTGACCTATAGTTTCATAGTTGGTCGGGTCGGAAGGGACCTGAGGAGATCATCTAGTCTGACCCCCTGCCGTGGCAGGAAAGAGTACTGGGGTCAAACGACCCTGGCCAGATGTTCGTCCAGCCTCCTTTTAAAGACCCCCAGGGTAGGAGCCAGCACCACTGCTTTTGGAAGTTGGTTCCAGGTCCTAGCCGCCCTGACAGTGAAACAGTGCCTCCTGATGTCTAGCCTGAAACTACCCTCCGCTAGCTTGTGTCCGTTGTTCCTGGTAACTCCCGGGATTGCTCGGGGGAACAGGGGCTCTCCCAGTGCCTGCTGGTCCCCCTTGACTCGTTTGTAGGCTGCCACTAGATCCCCCTCAGTCTTCTCTTGTGGAGGCTGAACAGGTTCAGGTCCCGTCGCCTCTCCTCGTAGGGCCTGCCCTGCTGCCCCCTGACCATGCGGGTGGCCTCCTTTGGACCCTCTCCATGCTGTCCACATCCCTCCTGAAGTGCGGTGCCCAGAACTGGACACAGTACTCCAGCTGTGGCCTGACCAGTGCCGCATAGAGGGGGAGGATCACCTCCTTGGACCTGCTCGAGATGCATCTGTGGATGCACGACAAGGTGCGGTTGGCCTCCCTGACCGCGTCCCCACACTGTCGGCCCATGTTCATTGTGGCATCGATGATGACTCCAAGATCCTTTTCGGTCTCGACACTGGCGAGAAGGGAGTTCCCCAGCCTGCAGGTGTGCCGCTGGGTCTCCCTCCCCAGGTGCAGCACCTTGCACTTGTCAGTGTTGAACCCCATCCTGTTCTCATCCGCCCACCCCTGTAACCTGTCTAGATGCGCTTGCAGCCTGTTCCTTCCTACTAGCGTACCCACATCCCCCCACATCTTAGTGTCATCTGTGAACTTGAACAGGGTGCTTTCACTGATGATGTTGAATAGTGCGGGCCTGAGGACCGAGCCCTGGGGAATCCCACTGCCCACATCCCTCCAGGTCGAATAAGACCCGTCCACTACCACCCTCTGGGTGCGGCCCTCCAGCCAGTTAGTGACCCATCTGACCGTGTAGGCATCAACACCACTGTCTCCTAGTTTCTTACTGAGAATGGGGTGAGAGACCGTGTCGAAGGCCCTCCTGAAGTCCAGAAAGACTATATCCACTGCTACCCCTGCATCCAAGGGCTTGGTGACCTGGTCACAGAAGGCCACCAGGTTGGTTTGACAAGACCTGCCCCTAACGAACCCATGCTGGTTGCCCCTGAGCATCACCTCCCCTGTCGGCCCTTCCTGGACATGCGCCAGGATAATTCATTCAAAAAGCTTCCCCAGGACCGAGGTAAGATTCACGGGTCTATAGTTCCCTGGGTCCTCCTTCCTCCCTTTTTTGAAGATGGGGACCACATGGGCCCTTTTCCAGTCCTATGATCAGAAAGAAAATGGAAACGAATCACAAGCCAGAACAGGAACAGCCAAATGTCTCACTTCTGCTCAGTTACACTGTGGACATTCATCAGTTATGGCAACTGAGCAAGAAATCCTGAGCATTACATTTCCCGGTGGGAGAGGCTTAGTCACATGGGGCCCAATCCTGAGCTATTACAGTTAAAGGAGCAGTTCACCACCAGTTTGAACAGGAACAGGGTTGTGCCACAGGCAAGTGGAGACAAACAGACACTTGTTCAAAAGGATCCACCTGGGCTGGGTCCCTTCCAGAAACAGTGCCCAGAAGCTAAAGTTGGTGCCATTGGTTTTTTGGAATAAGTAGGTCACATTCTTCCACCCCCACAGCACGTCAGACTTGTCTGGATCAGTCAAGAAGCGGGTGTGAATTCTCCCCTAGCTGACAATCACATGTTTGCCAACCAGAACGTGCGCTCCAAATTAACTGCTCACTATTTGGTCAGTCATTTCACAAATCATCTTGACCCAGACTAGTGGTAGCTGAGCGATATCCAGTGGTATCTATCCAAAATATTGAAGCACCCCCGCTCCAAAAGAACTGCACCTTAAAGTCTAAGCTTTCAAATTCCAGTCCTACATCTTAGTGATGTTCCAAGGAGACCCCAGCATTTCCATCAGGGGTCAGAAAATACAGGGTATATCCAGGTAAGTCTGCAAAGGGGTCTATCGTTCATAAAGTATCAAGTCAACCCTATCAGCGCTGCTCTGAACGAGTTAGTCCGTAGGGTGCTGCTCTGCCCCAACTTAAATCTACCAGCATTGTACTACTCCAGTGAAGAAATACACCCTTCAGGTCCTTAGCAATTATCCCTGTGCTGCTTAAAGATTATTTCCAATTCACAGGTGATGCAGATAGTCAAACGATCTACAACTCTAAGACCTACCAGAGATACCCAGAGAGAACCTCAGAACAGACATCACCTTCATACCAGCAGGGAGTCTAATTAGGTTTAAGCTCCTTAATCTGTAAAGAAGGAGAAAGCACGCAGTACAACAGGACAGAGCAAGAAGACTGCTCTTCCAAAGCATCCAATCAAGCAAATCACATCAGCTATAATGCGTTCGAGCTTAACCTACTGTGTTTTGGAAAGTGAAATGTTGTGCCCTGTGAATACATCACTGTCTTCCCTACCCTCTGGAAAGATTTTCTGTCTGTCGTCCTGCCTCTGGTCTTTAAGCAGCCTGTGTGTTAATGGGCGTAGTCAGGTAAATTCTCCTTTTCTAAAGGAGAAAACACAACCCTGCCCCCAGCACCTCCTACAAAAAATAAACCCAGGCTTTCTGTGCTATGACCTAGAACTTACCGTTAGTACAGCCAGTCCGTTCACCTAACCCAAATCCCAAGAGCCCCTTTTCAGTCATATTCACATAAAAGTCATGCAGAAATCAGATCCAGATCATACAGTGACTCAGTGGCAAATGTGGGCATAGAGAACCTCATGCCGTGGACACGTACTGGTTGTTAGACGGCCCTGTTATAAATATACTTTTTTTGTACTTCTGTTAGTCTATCCTGCATCTGACTTGTTTCTCTCTTCCCACTGCATTTTTCACTAATGACAAATACCCTACCTTCTTGCCTCTTCATACATTTCATAGTTTCATAGTAGCTGGGGTCAGGAGGGACCTGAACAGATCATCTAGCCTGACCCCCTGCCACAGGCAGGAATGAACGCTGGGTTCACAAGACCCCAGACAGGTGCTCGTCCAACCTCCTCTTGAATTTGTCCATGGTAGGGGCAAGGACCACTTCCCCGGGAAGTTGGTTCCAGATTTTGGCCACCCTAACTGTAAAATATTGCCTTCTGATCTCCAACCTAAACCTATTCTCCATCAGCTTATGACCATTGTTCCCTGTCACCCAGGTGGTGCTGGGGAGAAAAGGGCTCTGCCTATCTGATCGCCCCTGATGAGCTTGTAGGCAGCCACCAGGTCCCCCCTCAGCCTCCTCTTGCCGAGGCTGAACAGGTTCAGGTCCCTCAGTCTTTCCTTGTAGGGCCTGTCCTGCTGCCCTCTCCCCAAGCGGGTGGCCTCCTCTGCACCCCCTCCAGGCTGGCCACATCCCTCTTGAAGTGCGGTGCCCAGTACTGGACACAGTACTCCACCTGCGGCCTGACCAAAGCCACATAGAGGGGGAGGATCACCTCTCTGGACCGGCTTGAGATGCACCTTTGGATGCATGACAAGGTCTGGCTGGCCTTGCTGGCTGTGGTCTGGCATTGGCGGCTCATGTTCATCTTGGAGTCAATAATGACTCCGAGATCCCTTTCCGCCTCTGTGCTTTCAAGAAGGGAACTCCCCAGC